ACTCGGTGGTCAACTGAAGACCTACAGCAGTACGATCAAGGCAGATTTTAGTTTTTTTTTCGATTTTTATGACCATTTTTAATTACTGAGTCTCGAATCCGGATATGGAATTCGTAACTGGAGTCAGACCTGGGTCTCACTGCGCAAACCTTACCGCCACTCGCCTCGCATGAGCTGCCATTATTAGAGAATTCCGAGAGACCGATTTATCCTTCTGCAGGAGTTGCTCATAAGTAAAAAGTTGATTAAGTAATTTGAGTGGAATCAAGATATACGTAGAGGGAGTGTGGATGTTTAGAGAAACTGAAAAAAAGGATTTCTTAGAAGCACTGAATGGAACATGATTGATACTGCTCCATGAGGAGATGTGTTCGAGGTCAGATTCCAGTGACACAATAGCCGCAATAACGGTCATGATCGATGTTTCCTGTGCTACGAATTGATAACCATCATTATGGCTACTTTGTCGTTACTTATCCATCCGATTCATTCATTCAAAGACCATGTCATGAGTCCCAGTGGTTGGTGGGAGGAGGGAGGTCATCAACGTGACATCCTTTGTAATACTGCTTGACTCTTCAACTGTCAACATTTTTTTAGTGACAAGCAGTTCTACCATGTCTGACACAGTTATACAGATTTGCTCTTGACTGACTGCTAATCGTTTGACCTATACCAGTGTAAATGAAACCATTTCACATACCATGATTAGGGTCACCATCGCGTTATATTTGGTGATATATTTTTAGCCACACCAGGTCTACCCTGCAGGCTTGTCCGCCCGAGTTTCATCCGTCGATTATGATGGGAATGCCAGCCTACGTAAAAGAAAACTTGAAAAATGCACAGCTCATCCTCGAATCGTTGAAGCAAGATCATGAACAAGCTCTAAAAGCACTAGATGCGTTTGCGCAACGCTCCGAGGTTGATGAGAACGAAGCGAGTGATGTGGCAGCTGCCGCGACGGATTCAGAGAAAGTTTATAATCAGGAAAAACTACCTCTGATCAAGTCAGCACTTAAGCAAATTCAAGACGGTTTGGATGACTCTGAGGTCGGTCCCACTCACGTTTTATATCATGAAAAATTGCACTTTAGGTATTAGTTACTTTTGCGAAATACGTGGAATGTCTGGAGGCGGAAAACATGCGGCTCAATTTGCATAATCAACGTTTGTGTGAAGAGACTGGATGGCTTCGAGATGAGCTAAAGTACACTCAGGCGAAGCTGGGAGTAGGTTTGAATTTGTTTCATCTCATCTCTTGTGTAGGAAAACGAAGCACTACTGGCACAAGCGCTTGTTGAAAAGCGTCATCTGGAGTTTATGCTNAAGAGCCTCTACCCGGAACGGTTCACGAAAACGATCGAGGTGAGTTGTTGATGGATTCCATTAGCCGGCATACAGAATGGACCAAACGCACAATGTGTTCCTATTCCGGTTTCAAAATCAACCTAACCTGTCGTGCACTGTCCTACAACGGTCTAGGCTACTGTTGTTTGATTACCCATTTGCTTGAATAGTTGGGGTGTGATATAAATCGAAGTGTCGAAAGTTAAGTGCACCATCTAAATGAGAATAAAGGGTAAGCAAGGGAACGGTATTTGAGCAGACAGTAAGTAAATGCATGAGGGTTGCTGTTGATGACAGTAGACTATATCATTCATTGTCCCTAGCGTTCAGTTGTGTTGTTCTCCAAGTTCCTAATCAGATAGTATAACTTTTTGTATTATATGACAGGCAGAACAAAGACGGAATGGGGGAACTTAATAATCATAAAAACTGCTGAACTTCAAGGATGGCAAACACTCGTTCAATATTCCTGGTATATATTTACTTTAATGTAGAACAGAGTGAAGAATGACCTTTCACAATTCCACTGTTCTCGAAACGAAGAATATTTGATTGCCACTGATCGACAGAGAAAATCAATTCAATATTACAATACCTTTATACTAATACCTGGATACCCTCTGTCCAAGCAGAGCTGAATGCTACCAGGCGCCTCTCCAGGTTATGGATAGGGGCATACCTCATAGAAGAAGGTTAGCTGTGAAGAAGTTGGGGCATACCGCAATAAGTAAGCAGTCGCGAACAAACAGCGGTGGCAGTAGTAGGTGTGGTGGGTTTCAGATTGGTCACCTGGCCGCAAAAGTCTAATGACTGTGTTGAGACAACGGTTGATGTGACTGACCCTTTAAAACTAAAGTCATTGACCCCCTCACATCCGAGGCAAGGGATTACTTTCTGCAGCCTTACAGTTCGCACTTAATTATGTAAAGGCTAGAGGTGCCCCCTCAAAATAAAAAGCGCCGTGTGACGCTTCGGACGTCTGTCGTATCAAACTCCCAAGTAACTTCATGATCATGTCTTTAGCCGGCTTATCCTTTCTAAGGAGCCACCCGCAATAAAGCAGGCTAGTAAGTTTATTCTAATAGCATAGAGTCCGAGCTTACGACACGTTTTCGTCCGGGTTCACCACGAAAAGTAGTGTTCTTCAGGATTGCCCTCTCTCCATTTCTATTTATCTTCGTGAGAGATTCTTGAAACCGCCCTATCCTCGTGCGGGATAGTGGTATCTATTTACTCGCAGGTGGCAGACTGTCTGATCTCGAGTATGCAGATGACATTATGCTGCTAAGCGAACATGCAGGTAATTTGCAAGCTTTTCTGGATAATTTGAGTGCTAGTGTAGCCATGTTCGGTATGCGTTTTGCACCTTCAAGGTGTTGAATGTTACTACAAGGTTGTGTTGGTTCAGCACCCAGGCTCACTCTAACTGGGGAATTAATAGAGCAGGTGGATAAGTTTGTTATTTGGGAAGCTACATCTCACCCGATGGACGCATCACGGATGAGGTGTCAGCTTGCATACAGAAGACTTGTTTGGCATTTGCCGACTTGAGACATCTGTGGTGCCGTCGCGACATCCGGCTGTCTGTTAAGAGTCGAATGTATGCTGCAGCGGTTCGTCCAGTTCTGCCGTACGGCGCAGAAACTTGGCCATTAAAGAAACAGGATAAATATAAGCTGTTGGTGTTTGAACACAGCTGTCTCCGCAGCATTGCACTAATCTTGTGGAGCTGCCGGACGAGTAATGCTGAGGTTAGGCGTAGTCCACTGGAACGAGTTGTCGACTTCCATAGATTACGCTGGTTTTGGCATGTGTTTCCCATATCACCAACTATTCTGTCACGGTGCCCAATGTTTGCGGAGGCTGCGGATGGAAAATGGTCAAGGGTAATCAAACTAAGACCTCGTTTTTGGGCATGAAAATTCTGACCGGGAGATCGGGTCACATAGGTATCGTTTGGCTCCCTGGCTGTGGACCTGGGGATCATTGTAATTGATGATTAGGGACACTGAGTGCTATGGCTGAATGTCGTAAACTCTGGTATTCGTGCATCTTCTCAGTTTCTTTGCAGCCTTAAGCGACTGAAATTCTCCATTTCCTCTTCGATTCACTATTCAATTTTCCAGTCTTTCTTCTGCTCCTTCATCTAAATCAAAAACCGAAAGATATTAATCAATACCGGTGCATGAAAGTGCATGATTGAAGAAACTCAAACTGATTCGCACAGTTCGATGTTTGAAACCCAGACAGTGCGACCGTTTGTAGACAGATACGAAGTCACTCGGCGCTATTATTCGTTTAGGATTCTATTTTCAGTTTGAATAACCATTAGCCGTGCTCTTCCGTGCGCCGATTTTGTTTTCCGTCTTTTGGCTGTCCATGGGGATGAAGCAGTAGGAGAAAGAAAACAAGGTTGAAAGTAGTAGGTAAATAGAGAATGGAAAATTTCAGTGGACTAAGGTTACAAATATAATGAAAAGATGCAAGAACGCCACTGTTTACGACACTGAGCCATATCACTCAGTGTCTCTAACCATCGGTTACTATCTTCCCCATCCAGGAAGCCTAACAGGACCTATATGACCCAGTCTCCTGGTTAGGGTTTTCACACCCTCGTACAAGGTCTTAGGTTGAGCACCCTTCACTTTATTCCACACACTATCTACCTCAACGAACATTCCTCGCCGTGGCAACCTTTCCGGTGACATGCGCAACACATGCTCCAACCAACATAATCTATGGAGGTCGACCGCTTGCTCCTTTCGACGACCGCAGTTACCCAGAATTCTGTGCCTAACCTCAGCATTGCTCGTCCGGTTTCCCCATACGATTCGTGAAATGCGACGTAAACAGCGATGTTCAAACACCGGCAGCCTATCTTCATCCTATTTTTTTCTTAATGATCAAGTGTCTGCACCGTATAGCCTAACTGGTCGAACTGCCGTAGAATACAGACGACCGGATCTCGTAACGGTGCCACAGATGTCTCAAGTTGGCAAATGCCATCACACTTAGGATTCTGTATAGTTCCGTCATTCATTTTGCAGTTTATCAATCAG